ATGCAAAATCGAAGGAAGATAGCATCGACCTAGACATAACGAAGTCTCAGTCGGCTAAGACTTAGCAAAATTGTTTAATTGATTGATGAGGCAAATCTTTTGCCTTCGTTTCGAAAAAAGATAGTCGTTGGTCTAACTGCTAGGCTATGTACTCAAAAAAGAAAATCATGTATCTAGGTGCCCATATATGTTTACACGTTCGTAAAAAAATTTATCGGGAGGAAAGAGCTGGCCTGCGGATGAAAGCGAAATCTGATATATTCGACTTGACATCCATAGCTATAGCTAGTAGCTAGAATCTGAATCATGGAACCAACATGGATTGTGAGGCCTTTTAATTTCCTCTACGAAACCAACATGTATTCTTCTCACAAGTGACAAGTCACAACAGTCGTCTGGAACTTGCGACTTGCGAGCGACGGGCCCGTGTGTTTGGTGGTGGTAACAAACCCACTCCATTATGTATGCATGCACCTTTCAGGTCGGGACGGGAAGGCAAACAATTCTGCGATGGATCGATGTGCAATCACCATCCTCTCAGGTCATTGTCACGCACGCTACCAGCACCAGGCCACACACACCACCTTTGGGCCTTGGCACCTCCTGTGCTCGCACGCCGGCCGCGAATATATGTCTCCGCCACGTCCAAATCCGTCACTCAACCAAAAAGGAATTAATACTAGTCACTGGTTACTTCAAAGCTAGCTGACTAAACTGATCGATGCGCACCGAGGCCAATTTCTAAAGGGAACATCAAATCATCAAATGCGACAACTGGCTTTATACTACACCATAGTTTCACAGTGTGACTGCGAAGGTGAAAGTCTACACCGCACAACCCTAGTAAAAAAAGACCAGCAAGGTATTGCCTGAATACCACTAGTGCATGTCTGATTTCTACTTTTTGAATTGGTGGTTAGAATCATTCTCAAAAAAAGGTGAATAGAACGAGGACATAAGAAACCATCTATATATGAAAATTAAAGCTCCCGCCTCAATTTTTGCGGGTTTTGACAAGTTATCCTCAAAAACTCGTCATGTATGTACATAAATCATCTTCTCCGTCTAAATGAAATGGCATGCTCCTCTCGGTTCCTCAAGAAAAAAAAGGTGAGATGATACGGCATCTTCTATCATTTTAACGGTACTGCTAAAGCTTAGGCAACTGCAAATTCATGAACTTGCAATCAATTTCTACACCTGTGTTGTGTACTCATCGAGCCAAAAACATCGACGACGCGGAGTGGGTGTGAGGATGGAGTTTCATTGGTTTGGGTTGGGGGAGGGGCTTCCTGACACCGAAGAAGATGACTTGAGGCATGCCAAGGTTAGAGGTATGGCGGAGGTGGCATCAAGGCAGCCAAAGGTGGCAGTTGGGTGAGGGATGGATGGCGATGTGATGAGGTTCGAAGAATAGAGTCTAAACTTGCTCGAAAATAGCAAAAAAAAGTGGTATATATTTTCTTAAAAAAATGGTAACTACGTGTAGATAAGGGCTGCTTATTCTGATCTATGGCTCGAGTAAACTCGGCATCGATGGTAGCATGGCCAGCCATGGGCAAGGGAGGCAGTTGGTTGGACTAGTTAGGAGGGTTGTCGAGTGTAGGTTGAAGAAAAGGGAGGGGTCATAAGATTGACATTCAATGTTCTGGTGAAATTGACTACAGAAATTCTCATAAAATTGTTCTCCAAGCACTAGGTGGCTTTTTTCATTTATTTTTTCCCTTATGCTTTCTTTGGGCATGATTGTGATGTTGCCCCAACTATCGTTTTAGCTGTGACTTTTGAATGTTGGTTGTATGGATGGTTGCTTTGTTTATAAAGCGGGGTGAAAGCCTATTTCGACAAGCACTTTGTTGCTTGAATAGTGAAAAGGAAATAATTCACCCGCACATAATATCTTTATTGATTATATAAACCGCATATTTGAACTATGAAGTGATACAATGGTAAGACGTGTAAAATGGGATATGAACATGTAGGAGTAGGACTGATGGCAAGGGCTAAACAAGAAATTGTGTATGATGAGTTCATCAACATTGATCATATGCATTTATTTATTTTTGTGTGGAAATAGTATTGGTCATGTGATACGTAAATGGCAATGGTATAGCATCGAGTTTGCAACATCATGTTTTTTTAGTAAACCACACACAATTTTATTCAATTGGACTACAAAGTACAACACACACGGTTATTACTAGAGAAACTGGGAGATGATAGAAGTTCTGAACACTATGCAGAAAGTACCCCAAGACATGGAAGAATACAAAGATCCGTAGGGGTCCCTGCAAACAAAACGAAGTCAGCGGCTGCAACCAAAATACAGGGGCACTGAGGCACTCATCGGAGAGGAATCATAACCTCCACTGTAATTAAATCCAAGTGAACACCATCGCCAGAGAGGCTTTCAGAACCGATGAACGGACCTGATGCAACCAGCAAGCTACATGCATGTCGTTGTGGCACGTCGGCCGGGGGCATCCCGGTGCATACCTGGACTCAAATCGGCCGCATCCCGCCGAGGTGGTCGGAGAAGAACGCTAGGTATCAATCCGTTCCAGAAACTCCATCTCATCCCGGTCATCGGCACCACAACAAAATACAGCAACCGTTGGAGAGGAAATAGAAACCCTAATCTCACCACCCCGACTATACAGCAAGAAGACAAGGTCAGAGGCTTCTCGACACCGTCATGGAGAACGTCGCCGTGGTGAGCAAAAGAAGCCAAGGCAATTTTATTTGACGCGACGCCATCCTCACTCCTCCGGCACAACCACTCAAAACCTAACCTCACCTATGAAAGCAACCCAAGAGAGAAACGAAGACCCCCCCCCCCCCACCACCACCACCACCACGCATTGCCGAAGCAGCAGCAGAGCGGCAATGCTAGACTTACGTAAAATTTTCTACGTAACTTACGTAATAACCAATGTGGAGTATGGTATTGGCGTTTAGGGGAGTGAGGGGCCCAACCCCTGAAAATCAGGGGGGGAGGGGTGATGTTTAGTTTAGTTGGAAGGCTTCGTAAATGTAGGTAGCGTTTTTGTAGGTGTAGGATTTCCCCCAGCAGAGGTGTGCAGAAACCTCAGGGCTCAGGCTCGCCTGCTTTCCAAGGGTGGAAACGTCGCCCACTCGTCCATCCTTTTTCTTGTGAAGAGGAAGAGGGCGATTCTAACTAAGTAGTAAAAAAGTTTATAACTAAGAATTTGCAGCATCATGTTGCGACTTTGTACAGCAGTTTTGCCTGGTCCCGTGGATGACGCGCCTCTAGAACGTCAACACGTAGCAATAGCAGTTGCGTGGGGTGTGGACGCAGCAGTAACTTGCAAGGGAGGAGCCAGCATTTTCAAAGACAACCTGTGAAAGCATGCGGGAGACGTACGACTGAAAACGAAATCAAATGATAAGCTAGCCATGCATAGGCAATATAGCTAGGCGATGCACACGTAAGAGTAGTAGTACGTACGTACGCGCCTAACTTCTTAATGACCTAGAGTGGCCTTTTGGAGGACAGTTTCTGAGATCTATCTCTCTGTTTGAAACCGACGGCTGATCAAGGGAGGCTTAATTAGTTTTGTCCATTTCGTAATTTTTTCCCCCAGCTTGGTCGTCGTCAGATCTGTGCCCGTGCAGACTGCAGGGTAAACGTACTAGTATTAAAGTTCCTCCATTGATAGTGTTTGACCGTATGCACGCAGGCATGGATATTTGGATAAGAAACAGCACCGCGTGTTGTAATTGTACTACGTTCATTAATTTGGCTATGCATGCGGCACGAGGAGTTGCGTTCCTTGGAGCAGTGGAACACTACCTGGGCGGCGAGCTGCCAATCGGCCATTGGCCATGCCACTATTTTAGCAAGGGCAGGCACACCAGCACGCGCGCACGCCAATGGTGCGAGATATACTTGCCAAAATTTGTAGCCGCCATTCAGTACCTCGCCTAGGCTAGGTCGACGCGCCATCCATCCATCCACCCATCGACCCGTCGTGTCGCACAAAAGGCACACTGTTCACACAGACTTTACGGGTCGTCGTATCGTACGCACCGCAAGAGGGGTAGGGGTAGGGGTAAACTATACAGAAGAAAGAAGAGACCGTAAGGAACCGCCTGGATGACGGACGATGCACCCGTGTCCACGCCAACGCACGTACGAACGCCCTGGCTGGTCGGTCAAATGATTAAGCGATGGATCGAGAGGATGTTTCACATGGTCGCTCGCTCCATCGGTCGATGGATGGATCGTCGGCTGCTAGCCCTATCCACACGTACAGGCATACTTTACGCGAGATATGAAACAATTAAAGCGTGTGGCATGGTACACTTGGAAATGGATATCTGGCAGCCGCGCCAAACTTTTCTTGAAGAAAGGTACGGCGCAAGCGTGCGTGCGTGTGTGCATGGGTCTCGTTGACGTCAAGCAGCTTGGCCTTGCTAGGCCCTGTGCTGTTAATCTGGGGAGATCAGCACCTGCTTAGTACAGTAGAAGAACGTACGTACTCTAGCAAGCATGTCACTCAAGCTCCGTCGCTCGGTCGCTTTAATTACGCTGCTCCCGTTCCATTTTCCGTTATCCAAAACTAGCACACGATTAGCCGGGGAAAGCTAAGTGGACACACTGATCGATCGCGGTACGTAGATGACACAATTCACAGCGCGACACACGCATCGCTTTCTCGTGGCTCCCCACACCACGAATTATTAAGCCCCAACTCCTATCTACTACTACTCCTAGTGCCAGTAGTAGAGCTGCTACCACACACCTCTCCACAGCCCTCGCTGCTTCTCCCTCTATAAATTCCCCCGCCCGAGCTCCAGGCTCACAGACTCGGACACCGGTCACTGGACAGCACGGCATCTGCTCTCTCGCCCCTCGAAATATCCCAAGCTCCAAAGCCCAAAGCATCGATCAGAGCCGATCAAATATAGTATTTCTTGAGCACTACTAGCTAGAGAGAAGTATTCTCGTGTTGCTGTTAGCCTGCTTTACTGGAAAGATGAGCCCCGAGGAGGGAGAGAGGCTCTTGTTCCCTTCCTTCGTCTTCCCGGACGGTTTCCCGGCGGACGACGCCACACCAGCCGTCTCCGGTAAGTTCGACTATCCATGTCGTCGTTGATTTAGCTAGCGCACCATCCATATGTACGTTAGTACGTAGGTGCTCGATCGAGTGTTCAACCGCAATGCGCTGTTGCTGATTCTCAAGTGCGTGTGGGTGCAGGTGGAGAGCAGAAGAAGGCCGGCCGGCAGCGGCGGCGGAGGAGGGCGAGGCAGGCAGCGGCAGGCGAAGGCGCGGGAGGGGACGATGCGGCGAAGAAACGCCGGCTGAGTGACGAGCAGGCGCAGTTCCTGGAGATGAGCTTCAGGAAGGAACGTAAACTGGAAACGCCCCGCAAGGTGCAGCTCGCCGCGGAGCTGGGCCTGGACACCAAGCAGGTCGCGGTGTGGTTCCAGAACCGCCGCGCCCGCTACAAGAGCAAGCTCATCGAGGAGGAGTTCTCCAAGCTCCGCGCCGCCCACGACGCCGTCGTCGTCCACAACTGCCACCTCGAGGCCGAGGTACAGTGCAACAGTCCGGCTGCCTAGTCTTGTTTTTATTCGATCACACCATGCATGCAGCTAGGAGCTAGCTGCAGTTCACACTTCACACACATAAATGACAGAATTCTTGGGTACTGTACTGTACTAGCTAGCTGGTTTGTGCTGCACTAACATGTGCATATATATGGATGCAGCTGCTGAGGCTCAAGGAGAGGTTGGCGGAGACGGAGGAGGAGAAGAACAAGGCCATGGCGGCGGCGGCGGCGGCGACAACGGGCGGCGGGGGTGGCAGCAGCCCGAGCTCTTCGTCGTTCTCGACGGTGACGGCAATGGTAGGGGGGCAGCAGTTCGGGATGGAGGAGGTGGAGACCGACCTCACCTACATGAGCGAGTACGCCTACACCAACTACATGATGGACTTGGCGGCCGGCGGCTACCTCGGAGGGGTGTACGATCAGTTCAGCTGATCTGGGTAGAGGGGTGAAAGAACAGTGCTAGTAGTTTACTATGATCAATCAATGTTAATTAATTAATCAACCGGGATTGCCGGGTAATCGTATGCACGTAGCAGCAAGTCAGAACTCAGTAGGTATTGGTGGTGGTTTCAATGGGTGGATGCCCTAACGGTGAATCTTAGTAGTACGTAGTACTCCCTCTGTAGTTTAGGGAGGGAGTATTTGCTAAGCCATGTACATTATGAATCGGCAATCTTTGTAAGTACTCCCTCCGTTCCCAAATAATTGTCTTTCTAGCCATCTCAAATGGACTACAACATACGGATGTATGTAGACATGTTTTAGAGCGTCGGTTCACTCATTTTGCTCCGTATGTAGTCATTTATTGAAATCTCTAGAAAGACAATTATTTAGGAACAGAGGGAGTATCATGTATGGACTATCTCATTCTCGAAAAAAAAATGTATGGATTATCATGCAAGCGATTTATGGTGAACTGAACTGAACTGATGGTGTGATCGTCATTCACAACTCGTATATGCACATGCATGTCTTTGGCGCTATACCTCTTCTTCTATGTCTCTCTCTCTCTCTCTCTCTCTCTCTCTTTAGCTCCCACATTTGTATCTTGCTTCTGATGCTTCGGCCCAACAGAGTGGGCTTTACCTCAGTTCTGGGCTTTATAGCAAAGAAGAAGATATAAACGATGGAAAAATACCACCTGATGATATTCCTTTGGTCCTTCATCACAAGTTGCTCTCTTCTCTTGTGGTGCACAGGACAGTACTAGTAGCACTAGCAAAGGCACTGACGCTGAGCATCATTCGGAGCATGAGATAGCAGGAACAGAGCAGGAGTTGGTGCTCAGCTCACGTACGTACAGCTAGCCGCATAAACATGGCATCTCCTATCCTAGTAGGAGTAGACGTTGGACGTGTCGACCGGAGGAAAGAAAAACCGCGGCCATGTTATCCGGAGCTAATGATTGCAGCAGCGAAGCGCAGCGAAGCGCAGCGAACAAGCCGTCGCCTTTAAAAGCCATTCTCCCGCGTAGATAAGCCCTGTAAAAAAAAGGATAAAAGGCGGGCGATCGACCTGAGTGAAATGACGGACCAAAACTCCAAAGTAACACGTACGTGCTAGCGCGAAGCAAGCGCGCACGACCTAATCAATCATCGCCCGTCATCCACCGCGCCTGACAGGGACCTCCGTCCGGCCGCACGGACGGACGGACGAGGAAAAAACAAACGCACATACAGACAGTCTGGAGGGAGCCATCGCTCGTCGTCCTCGTCGAACCCCGTCGCCGTCGCCGGCTTTATGGCCCCCGCCCGCCTTCGCCGTGGCCGTGGCCGTGGCCGTGTGGGGGATGCAACGTACGCAGGTTGCCAGAGGTGCCTTTGGCTTTGGCGTTGCTTAGTCGTGGGGGCATCATCGTAGGATGGGAGCACATTCTTATCCGGGGAGACGAGGTGCCTCCCCCCTGGAGCTGTACTACGTACGACCAGATTGGAGATTGGAGCAGAGCTTTCAGCGCCCGCAAACTGTCACGCTCGCTGTCCTTCCCTCCGTCCTTCTCCTCTCCTTGGTGGGCACGGCGCCACTCCGCGGAATTATACGCTCGCTCGCGCAGTTGCTGCACTACACCTGTATGGCTGGCTGAGATGCAGATCCGCCGGTGTAGGCGTAGCCACCTTTGCTGACTCCCGGCCACAGCTCAACTGAGCACTGCCATGTGCCTTTATTTAGAGCCTACACTGCTCCACCTTCAGAAAACCACATGTACTACTGTGGTAAACAGCATGGCCATAGCAGAGGCAACACGTCTAGCTACCTGATTTACGAGCTGCTGAAGTAGACTGAACCAAGCAATGACCAGTGAATTTACAGTTGATGAGGTAAAAAATCACATGAGACAACACAAGCATGCATGGATATGACCCAGGAGGAAGATATCGGGTACGATGAGACAGGGGAGGTAGAACTGAAAGAATAGAGGAGGCTAATATACAAATCCAATCTGGCCGACAGTCTATCACGAGTACAGGGCGGGAGCGGGTGGAATCGAGGTGAATTCCTTCACCCAATTCACATCTGTCTGTAGCCACACTCTTTCCACGGGGATTACATCACATGATACAACAACAGCAACAACATCAACAAGCAAGCATTAGGCTGACACCGACAGGAAAAAAAAATTAACTGGCAGCTGCGACGGCAGTACCAGATGCACCGCTGCCCGAATTAGCCAACTTGGTTTCAAAAGTTACACGGGCTACCTACTCTTGAGCGACGCCGTGCTGGATTTCCTCGACGAAGAGCTCGCAAGGGGCTCTTTCACCGGCGATGGAGGGAAAGGGGAAGAAGACGGGGGAAGCGCTCTCTGGCTCGAGATGGAGGAGAAACAGCTCAACGGGTTCCGCAGACGGCGCTTCTCTGAATCCTCGGTCTGGCTGTTTGGATCATGGCCGACCGGGGAGATCTTCAGAGACTCCGGGAGGAGGCAGTTGCAGATCGCACCTGTAGGAAAAACGATAAACTTGAGTTTTTAAGGACCTCACAGGAAAACATCAAAGTTCTATGACAAGCAATAAATTCAATGTACATGACAAGAATCCCATTTCTTTAAAGACTTTATCTGGACAAGGAATGCAACTGCACAGACCATGGACTTGAACTATACATGTTATGAATTTCATGTTGTGCGGAAGTTTAGCCCATGCTGAATGCAATTCCTGTTTGGCTTTTTACCGCAATTCCTGTTTAATACATACTGTATTTCATAATTTTAGCACGCTCCTTTCAGACTGAAAACTGAGACCTCAATCTCTAGCAGATGATTCAGCTGCAACAAAATCAGCTGTCAAGTGCACTGGCATGTATTGCCTTGGAGTGTTATATTCTTTTTCCTGATCTATCAAAGTCTCAAGTCCCGTCGCTGTAAAGACTGCAGAACTGCACTAGCAGATGATGTGATCCCAAAGTACAGCTTTACACAATAATTTGGTAAACTACATTTCTAGAAACTAAAGTGGCAATGGAATACAGTCAGCAAGAATGATGGCAGTAACTGTCAAAGTGCTCAATGCATTCTGACCATGCACATTAAGATGCACTCAACATTATCACAACCGTCTATCCTTTTGGAATAAACCGTTGAACAACTAATAATAATAAGCACTAGTGCTTGCATTAAGGTATGGTACCTATTCTGGCGAGCCGATTCACCCATTTTGGAATTTTGCTGCCGGTCAATTTGTAACACATATCCTTGCAAAAGTGGTTGCAATTCTTCATGATGAGATGGTAAGAATCTCCATTGTAGTTTACTGACTGTAGCTCCATGAACTGCCTAACTTGGATGGGATCTAAGCACGTCGTACCAAGATATATTGATCTCCTGAATCTGAAACCAGGGCATTGACGAGGCTCTACCTCAAATACCCCGCTTGTGGGATAATCATGTGCTCCAAATGCATATTCGACGCCATGAACTGCACAAGGGGGAAAAAGGCAATCAGACTACAATGTTATTCAGATCAGTTATGGAATCTTACTCCCAAAAATGTTGTCCAATTTGATCTGCACGAGGACGGCAAAACAGAAGAGAAAGGCAAGGCTTTGTTTTTGTTTTACAGGACATGAATAAAGGTCTCACTTAATTCTTGTTCCACCTTTTCACAAGCAGACCAAATTGGAGTGAACTGAACATAACAAAAGCTCTTGTCCTAACAGCAGGCACTGGACTGAAGAGATCCAGGAAGACCCTTACTTCACGCCTAAGAGATGGGTCTACATATGTATATATGTAAACATATTCATTTATTCACCTTTCTAAGCTACCCATTTGGGAAAGAAAGATAGAAGTCTAAGCCATAATGCCATATAGAGTGGTCCATCAAAATCAAGAGAGATGCTAAGATTATTTCATTCATTTTATAGTTTTCGTAGAAAGGACAACATAGGCTACCATCCCATATTTATCGCTGCCAAAAGAAATAAAAAAATCAGAGGCTATGCCTATACATGAATGTAGCAATATGAGCTAATCACAGCAGTGGTAGGCTGGTAGCACATACGAGTACATGTAGGAGCTTACATAGGCTATGCCAAAATCTGTACTAGCTGAACACCTGCGGCATTGTGTGCTAAATTGCTATGATACTGGTGACACAGATGCCTGTAGTCGCATTACGATCACAAAATTTGATGGTCAGAATAAGCTCTTTTATTTACCTAGAACTCCACTCCACTATGTAGAAATGTCGTTCGGGTAGGGAATTACTTGTTATTTTAATGCACAGTCAAATAAGTAACAACTTACTGGAGAAAGGTACATAAAAGTAAGCTGTAACTTATTGATTGTTAACATTAGCTGTGATGAGCTAGTTGGAATGATCTGAACAATCCAGGAGAAATGGTGAATAATATAGCATCAGTGAAGTTGTGTTCGATTTATAACTCGAAACCGAACAGAAATGAGAAAAAGAAATAAATGAACTGGTGCATAAATAGTAAATTGGCTTAAAAAAGATGATCTGGCACAGATAAGTACCTTCAATCCCAGAGTGAAATATACCAAGGCCTGCCCAATATATGTAGCCATTCATGGGCGTCAAATCATACACATTAAGATAAACCGGAGTATCATTTGGGGATTGACCGGATGCCTGAACCTTGGGAAACAGAAAGAAGCGCATGGTGGATTTCCTGCTCAGCTGCAGAGGCACGAGGGACTTCCATCCAGGTCGTTTTGTCTTTAGTTTCATATTCCTTCACATAATTAAGTCAGATATCAATATATGAACGATCTAGTTCAGAAAGATCTCTTGTTGTAACAAATAACGATTAGGAACAATTAATAGGTACAAAAAGATCAAATTACAAAGGATTCATTTTGAAGAGGCTAAATCTAACTTTCAAGGACTTGTCAAATAAAAGCAGAAAACTGAAATTTTGGTACACAGTACCTATATTTAAACCACCCACGTTTGTGAAATATGAAAGCACTT